CCAATAATTAATTAATCCAATTAATTAAACCCGGTCCGTGAATTAATTAATCCAATTAATTAATTCAAAATATAAAATAACAAATCCAATTAATTAATTTATCCAACGATTGTTAAATTAACTAATTGGCAATTTGCAATCTTCCAATTCTCTTTTGTGTGTGACCCATTAGGTTCCCGACCACGACGCCTAACGACGTGAAATATTATTTTGATCTAATCAAAATTGATAAATTAAAACACCCCTTTTAATTTATCGTCAATTCACATTCGCCGTCCCTGATTGACATCTAGCAATGTGTCAGGGCAATACATGTGACGGGAAATGTCACGTGGTATGACAAAACCAAATTCGTTCGTTTACCGTGAAACTATAATCCCTTCGTCAATATGATCCGATCAATTACGAGATATGGAATTGTGTCAATCTCGATCATCGATCATATCTTTCACTCCACTATTAAGTCAATATAAATCGAAAACTCCTTTTCGACTTATGAGTACACCTTGGCCAAGGATTTCATCATTGACTTAATTGAATGAAACGCAGATCATAATCTCCTACTATCTAAGAGTGACGAATCCTATATTGATCAATCACAACCTTCATACGATTATTGACGTACCCGAACGATGTCGTATTAGCGGCCCTTTTCAGAGCAACATCCAACACCGCCAAAGTATGACTGTCCTCATATAAGGTACCATGACGACCTCAAGTCAAAGGACCAATTTCACTACCTAACGTTAGAGATTAACCACCGACACTCAGATAGTTATCCATGTGGAATCTCTCGACGGGTCTCCAATGTTTTGTTCTATAACAAACATCAACGTGTTCATTTAAGTGTCACCACACTTTAACTTGTGAGATCAGCTACTTACTTCACAAGTAAGAAATGCCACACGTGATGGTCTATCCGTAATAACGATATCCGTATCTCGTTATTACTTACGACCACGGATGATTTAAGATTCAATCTGATGTAATTTGTATCTCACAATCACAACTCCTTGTGATTAACAAATTACAAATATTTGAATCTACGGACTCTATTATTTATTTAATTGTCTATTAATTAAATAATAGATCTGCCATTTAATTGCATTAATTATATATAAAAGTATTTATGTCCAAAGTCGATTGGACCTAGGGCATAATACTTACAGCGACATCATGAGAATACTGGTCTGGACAACATTGTGAACATCATCGAGGCGCATGAGAAACTGTATCATCCGATTTTCTATATGAATTGTGTGTTCCTTAATATTGTTATAAAGAATATTCGATGTGTCTCTAATCCATCCCAACGACCCTTAAGCTTTGTGAAATAAGCCGATGTTGTCATGATACCATGAGAGGGAAAAGCTAACGACTTATGGATTTGATAAAATTGCAGTGCATTATTCTTTAAAAATTGATCTTTAAGGTTTTTCGACCCTTGATGAGTTGTTTTAGCATGAACAACCTTTAGCTGAGTTCGGTTTTACTGAATACATGGGTCATGATAAGATCATACTATTACAGTGATTCCACAGTGCAAATTCTACTGGTTGGTCTAAGAACATGTATCATCGGTTTATTCCGTGAACAATAGTTAGCACCATTCATCTTCATCGAAACTAACGTGTCTTGGAAATATCTGAGTTATGAAAAAAATAAGGGGACGACGAATCAATTCTTGAGTTATTGTTGCTATTGTTTGCGTTTTTTAAGTGAAATGGCAATGACGATGCTTTATGTTGATGGAGTTTGTTCTTCTCGTGTCGTAAAGATTGGGTTCCGCTGAAGAAGAATTAAACCCTGAGATGATAGCTTTGATAGCACATTACATTTTACAAAGAAGAAAAGTGGAAAAAAATTGCAGATTAATTTTATATATTGAATGAATAATTACAAGCAAATGAATACATATACATAAGAAGGAAAATAAAAGCTTTCGCAACTTCTAACCTAAGATTTGTGATCTTATGTTAAATGAATATTTTTTAAATTTAAATAGGAATCTAGAAACGTGAGTAATAGAAAAATAAATATTTACAAAATATGGAAACAATTGATACAATATTCACACCCAAGGTCTAAACTCTAAAAGTAAAACATTTACCCTTTTTCCAAATCCAAAATCAGATCAACTTCACAATCCCAACTCCCACTGCTTCTCTACGTTGCACCACCAATCCAATTGCATCCACAACCACTATGTGCGCGTGCCACCTCTATTGGAGTCGTCCATCAAATATTTTGCGAAGTTTTATCTCGTCTGCTATCCCGCCACCGCCAGTCAAACACCCTGCCACCTTCCAACTCTACCAACATCTCCGTTGCCAAGTTTCATTTCTCTCGTCTGATACTGATACTAACAATGCTGATTCTACTCATTTTTGGGTCCTCGTGGGTATACTTTTTTGTTTGTGGTGATCATTAATGTTGGTGGTTAAAACTTTTAGATTTGAACTTGTATATAATGTGGTGGTAACAATAGTTTGGGTTGGTGGTAAAATTTTTGAGATTTAAACATGGATCCAATTTGGGTATAATGGTGGTCGGCGTTGTTGATAATGGTGGTGTTGGTGGGGAAGATGTATGTGGTGGCGATGGTCGTGATGGTGCCTGAATGTTGCGATGGTTTAGTGGTGATGTCGATGATGAGGTAATGGTTTAGATAGTAGTGGAGGTAGGCGTAACGTGATACGATACAGGAGATGACAATGGTGTAATGATGAATACAACTTGTGGAGTTGATGTTGGTATAATACTGAATGTTATAAGTGGTATGTCAATGGTGAAAATAGGAGACCAAATATGTGTAACGTACCATATTACAAGTGGAGTGCAAGACGACAATATGTGGTGAAATGTGTATAACATAGAGTCCGTTTCGATGCCTTTTTTTTTATTTATTTTATTTTTTTTTTTGTAAAAAATGCATTTTGGAATAATGATTTTACAAAGATTGTGCGATTAAAAAATAAGCAAAATTTTTGAATTTATTTGTAATATTGTTGTTGAAAAGAAAAGAGAAAAAAACGTGTTTTGAAAAAAAAATGAAAATCAAACAAGGCATAGTATTACACGATGAAACATACTGGGTTATCAAATGTAACTAAAAAAATTAAAATAAATAATTAATGAAAAAATATTTTGAGAATAAAAAAATTTAAATTGTATTTGAAATTAGTAAATTTTTTAGTGTATTTGTGAATTCTTTCATAAATTTTAGTGACATGGAGTTGCAATGAGGAAATTCTCAAATTATCATTTTAGTTATGAATTTATTTATGGATTTCAATGTCAATCCTAACTTCATAGTTCAAACATAAAGTCTAGTCGATGTACTCAATTAGTTGATTAGTTTTGGGCCGCTTCAGTAAATGTTTAACTTTACTTTCTAATTATAAGCTAAGTACATAAATTATGAGTTATATCTAAAAATGAGTGGTTTTAAAAACCTACTTAGACAGAGCTATGTCCAATCTTCATCTTTCTATATCGTGTTTTCATGTCCAATTTATGTTCCGAATCTCTCGCGACATTTGATTCGTCATCAACAAAGAATTAGACAAGATTTAGACTAATGTTCATATCAATTTAATTAGAAATTAATTTTAAGTAATTGTAATGATTTTTAATTTTAGAATTATGTTTTTTTGTTAGAAAATTGAAAACTATGTAATCATGCGTAAAGTTTTAATAAATTTCTGGGCATGCCTTCTGTACCTATGATTAAGGTTTTTATCTCCATCAGAGATGATTACCAAATTACACATTTAGAGGGTGTTTGGTAGGAATTTTTATGTGAAAATGTATTTTTGAATAGTAAATTGATGGGAAATGTGTGGTTAAAAAATAAGAAAAAGTTTTTGATTTACGTTTAATATTATTTTAATAAAGAATGTGTGGTTGAAAAGAAGAGAGATAAAAATGCATTTTGATAAAAATGGGTGCCAAACAGGGTCTTAATTGACATTATTATTTCAGAGCAAATTATGTTGCATAAAAGGGTAATAATCTAATAAAGAAACTATTATTTATTTATTAGTCTAGAATAATTATAATAATATTAAGCCCTCATTAGGCCCCTATTTTTTCAAATTAATATGAGTCGAGTGGTATTTTTTGAAAAATGAGTGGTTAAAAAAGAAGGAAAATTCTATGAAATATTATGTGATTGAAAATAGAAGAGTGAAAAATTTAATTAAATTTAATGGAGACCAACCAAGGTATAAAAATAGGACAACACTTCATGACATTAAGCCATCGTTTCACCCCAATTTTGTGGAAATGAAAATGAGTAGAATAGTGCTTTTTAAAATGAGCGATTGAAAAAAATGAAAAGTTTTTTTTTTATTTACGTGTAATATTATTTTATGAAAGATTGTGTAGTTAAAAATAGAAGAGAAAAAATAAAATGTAATAGAATGAAAATTAACAGGGGCCAAATGAGATTTAATAGATTTCATTTGAGCGCCCATATGCTCACAATACTTGAAGCTTAATCTCCACGATTGGATATATCTTGTGTCTTTTATTTTAACTAATTTTTCTTTAAGTTATTTTATTATTTTTCTATATTGAAAAATAAAATACTTTGAATTATTTAATTATAGATTGTGAGTTTGACTCTCAATGTTAATTTAAAAAAATTTTTAAAACATAATTTTAAAGACTGGTTCTTTAAAATCAAAAGTATCTTATATTTAAAGAATCTCTAAAAAACACTCTAAAAGTGTATTACAACATGTAAATGTAATATCGCTATTTGCCCAAATTTAGTCCGACGAAAACAAAAATCACACGACCATGTGTAATTGTGTTCTTCAATACTCAAAATTGAGTACAAATTCAAAATATCCAACAGCAGAATTTACTATGCATTTGGTTTGTACTATATTATTTTCAAATAATCCATGTTTGGATCCAATTTTTATATAAATCGAAAACTTTTTCTTGACGAAGTATTCTTAAAAAAATAAAAATTCTAACATACAATTTTTTAACAAGCTTTTTTATTTATTTTTATTTTTTATTTTTCTCTTCACCCTTTCTCACTCGTTATTCTTCGTCCAATTCTCCAAGATAAAACCCTCAATCGTTTTTACCCATCTCAGTCTTAATCGATCTTCATCCAATTCTCCACACTACTTCATTCCGGCGACTCCTTCACTTGGAGGTATTGGCGACTGTGAAGTTTCGTGGGTTTATAAGATTCTTGCTATTTATGTTAAGGTTTGGTGTTTTCTTTTGGTTTAACTTCTAATTAGTGAATTTATTATGTTACATTAAGCATGGATAGTTTATGAGGAAGTTTATCATATTTTAGATTTATATAAATATATTCTTCCCTGATGGGTCATGGCATTATGGTGATGAAGGTGTTGATGTTTTGGTAATTTTGGATTTTAAATTTTAAGTTTGTATGAATTTAACTTTGTTACTTTATACGTACTTGGTTTGTTTTCACTGCATTCTGGTCTTCAGTTTTGGTGGATGAGTATACAGGGAAGATGGTTGAACGCTTGAACTAAATATTTATGGGCAATATTTTTTGGGTTTCAGAAAACTTTCCAATGGATTGTGAACTTCTGTATTTTAAATTTTCAAATGACAATTTCTTTGGAGTTTGTTTCTAGGTTTAACTGCTAGATAATGGAGTTGAAAGTCAAGTAGGATTATTGTTTAATTGGTCTTCATTGGATGTTTATCCTTACCCATTATATCTAATTTTTGCCTCTGCCCAACTTCAGTATATAATTAAAATATCATCTTTGAATATTTTACTTTAGATTCTGCTTAAAGTGCCAGTGGAGATGAGTTAAGAAAGTTAAATATGTAGTCCAGTTTGGTGTTTTTTCTGCTTATCACTTAGCTTTGGAGACTTCTTTTCTTGCTAATGAAGGCGCTTTGCTGCAAGAATTCCCGTTGATGTCTTCAATGAAAATTGCTTGACCTGATAACCCTCAAATATTGATAGTTCCATTTCTATGATACCTGGATTTGTTGTGACTGCCAATGATAATAAAGCCTCTAGGGCCTAAACCGCACGCCTATCTAACATTTCAATCCAGAAATGACTTATGTTCCTAGATATTACATAATCACCCAGAAATATTACCATGTCTGATGCACAATCTCTTTTTGAATCTTCAAGCTCTCAAATTCTGAATACCAAATGTACTCCGTATCCTTTAAGGTGCAACTTCCTTTTGCTAGTCAAACATCTCAAATGGGCAAGTTAGAGATCAAATTGCCACACAAATGTGGAAAGACTACTCACCGGCTCATACATGATTCTGTAGATTTATTTTATTGTTTTAATTTCCAACTTCGTTTATCTCTGCTATCAGTGTCTAAGCATGTAAACTTAGTTCACTTGTTATAATATAATTGATGCAATCTCATCATCCATAATCACATTTTATAATTCTAAGTTCATGTCATTAATTTTTTTCCCTATTTTTTGCTAAGTTAATTTATTAATTTTTGTTTTTTATTTTTTAAGTGGAATAAATTATTGTAAGATTCACTAACTTCGAATGTTTACATTACCTGATAATATATTAAAATAAAATTAATCTAATTTACCGAATAACTTAATTCATTGAATAAAATGTAATAGAACAATTTCTAAAAATTCAAATTGACAAACCAAACGCATTTTCTGCATTCTTAAAACAGGCATTTAAAACAGAAAATTGAAAATGTGTTGAAAGCTGAATATTGTAAACTGAAACTCAAACCAAAAGGGCCCTTAGTTTTTCTGCTTTTACATACACGAAATGGACTACTAATATTCCATTCCAGAAAATACTCATCTTTCCTCAAAGCCAATCCCAGAACTGTGTTCAACTCAGGAATATTTTTCTGTTCCAAACAGATATGAGGTTTTCTCTTCTGGGCTTTGTATAACATGAGATGAAAGATACAAGTCAGATGTAAATTTAGCGAGAAAATAAGGTATAAACATTTTGTTTTGCACCCAAAAACTATAATGATCGAAGTTGTTTTAATTATTGGATTTTGGCATAGAGTACTGGGCTTTTGAAGAGTTCAAATAAAAAAAAAAATGGGTATAGAGTGCGAAGGGATGATCGTGATTTTGAAGAAAACCAAATGCTGACAATAGAATGTTAATTGCCATTGTATGAGATGATTATCCTGATTTATTATTATTTATCATCTCCATTTATATTTAATTTAGTTAAAAGAAATTGTATGGAGTCATACTTGTTGATTAATTTGATACAAATTTTTGTTGGTTTGAGAGTGAGCACTGAGTGTAATTGTTTGTCGTTGGGTGAAATTTGTTCTTGCATTGTTCAGGGGCTGGGCTTTGGAGGCCACATTTGACCTGGCCAGCATGTAAAGGGGAGTCCGAGTCAGGCGAGGTCTTAGTGTCTAGGCCTATTCCTTGATTCGAAAGACGCTTGCAGGCCTCCTTTTGGGAAAATTAAAAAAATTGGGCAAAAGATCTATAGAAATATGACGACGGCTCATTTTTTGTTTTATTTTACCAAAAACTGATTCAAAAATATGAAAATTAACTTTAGACCTGACATGTACTTGGCTATATCTTGGCTCTGATAGGATTGCCTTCTATAATTTTACGATGTGTTTTGGGTTTGGAACGTTGTTAGTTAGATTTTAAGTACATAGGGTTGTTTTAGTCTTGGAGTTGAAACTTACATATTCAGGACAGGCGAAACTTGAGACTTCAAGATCTAACACATCGAATGAATTATTAAAATAAGATTACTCAGTGCTACAATTTTCCAGCGCCCTGTGAACACGCTAACTCATGATATAGCTCCAATTAAGTTTCAATAACAATTAATAACTTTTCCTTTGCTGTTAAGTTGGTAAAGGACCCTTGCTTGAAGAACTTAATTGTTCTCCGAACATGTCCAGTGGTTTTCGAAATAAAAAGTGACCAAGTTTCTTGCAGAAAATAGTTTCTATATGAAACAAAATGTTAGAATACAATTTGTAATGATACAGATTATGATAATCAAATTTAATCTTAAAATTAGTTCATGGAGAAACGTGCTTATATTATACATGTTTGGTTGCTTCTTATCGTCTTCTTATAAGCACCAGTTTTGATAAGCATGTCTCTACATGCTTCTCAAAAATGGTGCTAGCACCTTTTAATTATTATCCGCCAGACATGCTCTTTGACTTGCCTATCAATTGAGATCTCGCGAATATATAAAAAATTGTGTTTTCCTGGCTGGCTGTTTATTTATGATGTAGAAACCTTGTTATTTCTTTTGGAGTCACTATAATTTCACAACTAACAATTTTTGTTTTACATTTGCAGTTTGGTCAGATGAACTGGATCAAGGGGTTGCGTTATTTAACAAAACAATCCAAATGTATCACTTCACATTATTCGATGGTGAAAAAGAATCAGAATGGTTTTGTGTATGATCAAAGCAAGCTGTCCTCTTTGCGATCACCAATTGGCTACAATTTGGAAAGAAACATGTCATGGAAAGGAAAGTTTCCTTGTTTTCTAGAAAATGTCTTGGGGCCTAGAAGATATGCAATGTCCATATGTCGTCCATATGTGCAGAGCGTGCAAAACAACCCAGATTTGAGCAGAGATTTTCTCGTACAACTCTGGGTTGAGGATAGAAAGAAGAGAAAATTCACTGGTAAAAAAAGACGTAAAGTTCTTAAATCTGCAGATCACGATGAAGGATTATCTGGAGGTCAAACTGCCTTCCGACTTCCATTTGACAGGTTGTTTTCGGATGCATCTATCTCAGATGAGAAGTCTTATGACCAGGCAAAGCCAGATTTGAAGCAGCCGCCTCCCAGCCAGTTTGTCACGGGCATACTGGAACCCATGTCTTCAGAAGAGGTAAAATCTTTATTCTCTTGCTTGCTTAATAGTGTCATCCACTTGTTTTTTTTGAAATAATTTGTTTTTTCTATTGTGCTGGAAACGAATTTATTTTAATTCGTGCAACAAATCAAGGTGTTCATACCATTCTCTATATTAGCATATATTTTCATTTCACTTCCCATGCTTGTTTTTCTTCTCTTCACTCTCAGTTTTCTTCTTGTTTTCTTTTAAAATTTTGTTTCATGAATAAAGATTTGCGAGTATGAGAAGGGATGTAATTTTTCTTATTTAAGTTTTGGTACAGTATCCACTGATTCCCCTTTTAAAGACTTAAAGCTTCAGATTTTGGTTTGCTAGTTGAAAGAGAATGACTATTATCAATCACTTTCATAAGCCATGAACAAAATAAGCTTGGGATATCTAATGATTAGCATCTATTCCTGCCAACATGTTGCAGAATCAAATTCAAGTTATGTTGCTTTAAATATGTGGAATTTTTTAGTTGTATTTTTTGAGTTGGTCGCCAACTCTGCTGCAACATGGACTTGAGAAATTTTGGCCAGTTACTAGCATCTTCTTCATGTTGCATCTATACTGGTTAAACATATTTAGAGCATTTTCAAGAGACTCTATTTTTAAAGAGCATATTTTGTAAAAGTACTCTACAAACTCCTTATATTTAACACTTAATTTTACTTGTCCCAAAAAATATATATCGTTTTTCCATATTTTTTATTTTTGCAAGCTTTCCGCCAAATTATTCTATCATTTTCATCCATTGAAAATTGAAATATTTTGAATGCATTTAATTAAAGAGAGTAGGTTTGGCTCTCTAAATTTGGAGAGTCAAACTCGCTCTCTATTTTAACATGTTAATTTAAAGTCTTTTGGAGCATAATTTTAAGGGTAGACTCTTTAATGTAAAGAGCATCTTTTGTTTAAAGAGTCTCTTAGATATGCACTTACTGTCTTTATTCTAATCATCCATCATCAAAAACGATCATTTAACTGACGGTATAAGCCTCTCTCATTTTAGCGTTTGTTTCTTATCAATAGAAGTCAGTTTTCCATTTTAGCCAGTAGTAATGATAGTGGGGTTAGGAAGTAAATTTTTTCTTAGTCATAATAATACTTTGATTGAATCTGGCTTTTGTGTAGCTCTTTTAACTTTAAGCTTGACTTCTTTTCTTCTTTTTATTATCATCGAGGCAGAAGGTAAGATGTAAACCTTGGATTGCATCAAACATGTAAACAAATTACAAAGGATCAATTAAATAAATTAGGATGAACAAAGAACAATGACAATAACCTGATAATATTGCTGGATTAAATGGTAATTACTGTTAATTGCTCTCTATAATATTGATTCTAACTGCTATTTATAGTAGCAATGGCCACATTGTCGTTGGAGGCCCAAATTCATGGTTGCTTATAAGCATGTTGATGGTTCATTCCTGGAAAAAAATGTTTTAAGGAAAATCCTAACACCATGTATATGAAATCTGACTTATCAAAAGTGCCAAGTTTCTGAAATTTCTTTGCAATAAAAATTCATCTTGTTCCTACAGGCACATGCACATGTTTGATAATCTTATTGTTGAGTCCTTTTCAGCTGTCTTGTTCTAGGATTACTCTTTTTACGTTTCTGATATAACTTGACGTGTAATTAGTCATAACACAAGTCAAATTCATATGCTTTATGTCATAGCATGAGATTCTAACTTGAAAGATTGTCAGTTGTGATTGAAGGTGAAAACATAAGCATCTTGTAACTATGTAAAGATGGTTACTCTTTTCAATTGTTTTTATTTTTTCAGTCTAAGGTTGCACCTCTTCTTGCAAGAGCCAATTTGCTGATTACTAGGGATATAGAATGGGCCAATCTTGTTCTTGGTTTTGAACAGGTAATTATCGCTTTACAAATCCAACTCCTAGCAATGCAATTACGTTTTCGTAAATTTTAGTTGTCGACTAATGTTTTTGAACTTCGGATAATTTTTACTGCTGGTACTTTTGATTGCTAAGTTTGATATCTTATGTTTAAAGAAGTTTACCTTTTTCCCAGCATTGATAAAAAAGTGCTTCTAAATACTAAACTTGTCTTTTTCTGTGTCACTCACCTAATGTCAAACTTTCTTGAAGATCTTCTACATTAACTTACACAGCAGGTATTGTTCTTTTTATGCTCCCAAATCAAGAGAGGAAATCAAGCATGTTTATTGCAACTGTCAATATTAGTAAAGCTTATGAAGGCAATTTTCGGCATATTATTGTACATTAAACTTGTCCTGTTCCATATTTAGCAATATCCTAGTCATGGGAACCTGCTATTCCATTTACTAAAAAAAAAAAAAAAAATGTGAACTACAGGTAAATCGCCAATCCTATATCAAATTAGGTCTCAGATCGAGGCTGCTGCTTTAGATGATGTGACTCTTCAGTTCGTACTTGATTTCCAGCGATTTCCAGTAATATTTCACTAATAGACGGCCCTATGTCGGTAATAGTCGGTAAGGCAGTTTAGTGAATACACTTGTGGAATCGACAAGAGTTAAGCATTTTTTGAATTACCTTTTCCTGTATTGGTCGAAGCTTCTCTTTTTTTCCCCCAGAATCAATCATTGTGGGTTTGGGGATAATGGTCAGAACCATTTCTTGATTCCGTTGAACCTTCACTAATTTTATTCTTGATGGAGTTTAATATTAGGTTGTGCAATCTACCTCATTATCCTAGACAAATACTAATGCAGCCGTGTATTTGAAACTGTATATTTTTGAAGCAATTGGGTGAACCCAATGCTATGGACCTAAAATTAGTCATCGGTTGGCATCTTTCATGGAATCTTAACCAACAAATATAATGAAATTGACATTCTGAGAGTTGTATATCTTTTCCTTTTTATTTCACTTTCCCAAATAAAAAATTTTGTTTTTCTTCTTTCTTCTCTCTTTTCTCCTCTTGCTTTTCGTTTCTTGCTCCACCCTTTTTCTATTCTTCTCTTTTCATCTGCTTCGTCCTTTATCTTTTAGAGATAGGCTAACTCTTCATCTCTTATCAATTTTCTCTCTTTCTTTTCCTTATATTTTTGTTCTCCATGTCGGACTCAGCTGCACCCTCAAGATTCAAGATATGCTGCTTCCTGGTGGCCCTCGGCCTCTAGGGTGATTTGGGGCCTGAAAATAATTTTGCGGGGATCATAGTCCTCTTAGACTTTGACTGACCGTCTTGTTTGCTGGGCAGTCATGCACTTCTTACCCTTGAGGTCATCTTTCCTATTGAATAACTGCTCCACCATCACATCCGAAAGCCTGTCATAGCACTGTCATAATTCCTTCTTGTAAAAACTGGATAAGGTCGATTGTGTTTATCCAATTATTAACTCAAAACAAGTTACTGATTATTTGTTGACTCCGAGGAATTCTAATTTATTAGCTGACTCATGGATATATTTGAATATGCCCATTTTTATGTGGCTATGCTTGCTATGCTAACACTGTCTGTTTTTGGGTGAAGATGGTGGTACCATACAGGTGATTGTAATGGGATTGAGATGGACTTGCAATGTGGTGGATGATTGATGTAGGTTGCTGAGGTGAGATGCAGCGAGGTTGGAAGAGGTTGTGGTGGTGGTTCTTGGGGGAGGAGATGGGGAGAGGGGTTGGGGCTGGTGGTGACCACTAGGCAGTAGCTGGTTTCTGCTGGGTTAAGCAGAAGACAATCTTGTTTGTGATTCCTGTTGATTATATAGGTAGCCTGTGGAACGGAAGATGGATACTAATATTTTGTATAGTGTTTCCCTATGATCTAGTTGCATTAGATTATCCATTGGATGAAGGAATAAACCAATCTGAGTGTCAAAAAATGATTTATAGATCCAACCCAAGTTTATTAGGAACCAAGGCTTAGTTTATAGTTAAAATGGAAGATACTATTGCTTTTTCTTTCCCATGAAATGGACTTTGTGACACTATGTTAATAGCAACTCTTAACACCATTTTTGTTACGTGTTAAGGAGTCTATTTTCTAGTGGATCTTGGGACTCCATTATTTAGCCAGCTCTGTGCTGCTTGAACATTTTCCCTTGTGTTTAGCTCATTGCTCTGTTTGTAACTGTTTCATGCCTCATGAGAAGTAACCTCACCTCTTGGAATTGCAGGAAAACAGATATGCTGTTGTAGATGTCTGCTACCCACAATCAGTATGTAGTTTTTCTACTTTGTTATATTCTTCATGGAGTTCTGCCACCAGTTATTTAAGTAAAGAGGCTGTACTGCAGTAGCGGTTTCATTTACTTTCAACACTATCTTTCTAGCCTGTAGGTTTCATTCGTGAGCAGAGCAATGTTCTTGCGAGACAGGTACATGATACTCCTTTCTGGACCTTCTTTCTCGTGCTTTCTTTGTTTCTATTTCCTAATTTAATACTATTCTTCTGGTAGTGTTGGTTATATTAAGTATCTGATTATTTGCATGGCTTTGAAAAATATAATGCGGGTCAATAATTTTCATTGCAGTAGTATCAGTTTTGCTGATAGACTTGCAAAAATATACATAGCATGACGCAGATTTAGTACAATTAGAAACATGAGTAAAAATAATCTGACAATAAACATAAGAAAGCATGACTACTGTTTGTATTTGTTTAACTCCTCTAGTACGAATTCTCATAGTTTTACTCTTCTTCTTAATCACTCCCTTTAAAATGCATACCTTTACTTTAGTAGGATTTACTATTTGGGTTGGAGTTACAGTTGAACATTTTTTTTTTGATAAGTAATCAGATAATTTTATTAATCAAAGGATAATACATTGGAGGTGTATTATAAGTTTAAACAAGAAAGAAACGACATGAAGTTAAGCAGCCCTTCTACATGATTGGTTGTCGCAGCATTGAACCAAGCATACAAAGTTATATAAAACAATTCTCTAAACTACTCTATTGTTTTTGTCTGGTCTTCAAAACAACGGCTATTCCTTTCTCTCCATGCACATTATACAATGCATCCCAGAATAAAATTTCATACAAGTCTACTATCATTATCTCGAAGTTTTCTCCTCCATGTCCGCAACACGTCTTTTATTCGCCTAGGCAACACTCAAGCCAAATGTTGGGGAGCAAGAATGCCATTCTACAGCCAACGAACACCATCACAATGGATGAACAAATGGTCAATCGTTTCTCCATCTCTCTTACACATATAACACTACTCGGTAACATAAAAACATTTTCTTCAAAGATTATCTATCGTTAACGCTTGCCCTCTCACATCTGTCCATAATAAGAAAGTCACCAGTGGAGGCAATTTACATTGCCACACTATCTTATAAGGAAATGAACTCTCCACTAGTCCCAATATGGATCTAAAATAAGTGCGGACTGAAAAAATACCATCCCGTGCCAACCTCTACTGGCTACGATCACCCTCTTCTACCTAAATATGCGCCTCGTGCAAGGAGGTCAACAACAGTGCATAATCATTCAATTCCCAATCCTGTAAACCCCTCTTAAAAGCAATATTCTAGCTGTAACTTCCATTATGTATGGCTAGTACATCATTTACCATAGCGGAAGGCTTCAAAGTAATGAGATGCAAAGAAGGAAACCGTACCTTTGGCGGATGTTCTTCACACCAACAATCATCCAAAAACTGATAATATTGCCATTCTCCACCACATAAGTCAGTTTCTCTCGAAAGCTATTCCATCCTCGTCAAATATACTTCCACAAGCTCACCTCATAAGAACCACGACCCTCGACTTAGCACCAATCCTCTCCATCACACCATACTTCGCTCCTATGATTTGTCTTCAAAAACTTTCCTTCTCCACTCCAAATCTTCACAACCACTTGCTCAATAAAGCCTTACTAAACGGAGCATGACTCCTCAATCCAAGACCCCCGTCCTTAGAGGAGAACAGACCACACCCTAATTAATGAAATGAAATTTCCTCTCTTCTCCTAACCTTGCCCAGAGAAAATCCCTTTGAATTATCTGTAATCCATTTGCTACTGTAACAAGAATAGGAAACAATGACAAGAAATAAGTAGGGAGATTAGAGAGGGTGAATTTAATGAGAGTAAGGCAGCCTCCCTTCGAAAGGTACATACGTTTCCACCCCACTAACCTCCTCTACCGTTTCGACAATTTCATTTCAAATATGTTTACTTTTAAATCTTACCCCTAAAGGAAGCCCAAAGTATGATAAGGGCAACTGCACAACCCTACAACCCAATATATTGGCCAACTCATTCACGTTTTCAACATTTCCTACTGGAATAGCCTCAGCTTTTCCCAAATTAATCTTCAATCCCGACACCGCTTTAAAGGATAGTAGCCGACGCAAGTTCCTGAATTTCTCATCATCTGCATCGCATAGGATCAGTGTATCATCTGCAAATAACAAATGAGAAACTGTAAGTGTCCAACCGTAAAACCCCTTATCAAACCTTCTTCCATAGCTTTTTCGAGCATCATACTGAATGCCTTCGTAACAATCACAAACAACAATGGAGACAAGGGATCCCCTTACCTCAAACCTCTATTGCTTCGAAAATAACCCTTCGAGGTGCCATTAACCAAAACAGAGAACGAAATGGTAGAGATACAAAATTGAATCCACTTACGCGACTTTTCTCTAAAGCTACATCGTCTTAGCATGTACATAAGGAACCCCAGTTTACGTGTTCATAAGTCTTCTAAATATCGAGCTTACATAACATTCTTGGTACCCCCAAACACAATCTAGATTTAACGCATTCATTCGTTATAAGCATAAAATCTAAAATCTGTCTTCCTTTCAAAAGCATTCTAACATTTAGTCACCACTTTCCCCAGCACCTCCTTCAATCTATTAGTCAAAATCTTCGCAATAATGTTGTACACCCTACTAACTAAGCTAATAGGGCGAAAATCCTTAATGTCAACTGCTCTCGATTTCTTTGGAATCGGCACAATAAATATAGCATTAGAGCTTCTCTGGAGCTTGTCGTACTAAAAAAAAGAAAAAAAGAAAGAACATTTATAATGTCCGATCGCACCACCTCCCAACAAGCCTTATAAAAGGCAAACGAAAAGTCATCTGGTCCTGTGTTCTATCATCATTCATGCTGAAAACCACCTCCTTGATTTCGTCTTCCCCAAATGGTGTCTCTAACCAACTAGCATCTTCCTCCGTGAAAGTAGAAAAATCCAGTCCGTCCAACTCTAGCCTCCAGTCAAATTGCTCCCGATAGAGATTTTGGTAGAATCTCACAATTTGATTCCCAATATCCTGCGGGTCCTCTTAAGTAACTCCATGAACCTCCAGTAAGGTGATAGAGTTGTTGCGCCTATTAGAATTAGTGATTATGAAAAAACTTGGTGCATTTATCCCCCTTTTTCAACCGTGTGATCCTAGATTTCTAGCCCTAGGCAATCTCCTCCATCTCCAGCAGTCTCTCCAACTCTCCCCTTAACACTCCACGTCCTCCCTTTCCTTCCCAACCAACCCTCGACTCTCCTCCCGCCTATCCAGTTCTTCTATTTCTAGAATGCATTGATTTTTATGCCAATTAACATCTCCCACCACCTCCTCATTCCACTTCTTTGGATCCATCTCCAAGGCTTTCAATTTTTGATCAAACACATAACTAGGAGACCCTCTAAATTCATAAGATGCCCACCAATCCTGTACTTACTCTCTAAAGCCTTCTACTTTTAGCCACATCTTCTCAAATCTAAGAGGTCTACTTCCACTACACCTCATATTCCCCGATAACGAAATAGGGAAATGATCGGAATACACCCTCCTCGATCTCCTCTGAGTAACCTTTGGATATTTGGCCTCCCACTCCCCACTAATCAAAAATCAATCTATTCGAGATAAAACAGGTTGATCTTGATTAGATGACCAAGTATAGTCTCGTCCAATCAAAGGCATGTCTACCAACATATTTTCCCTAATAAAATCTAAGAAATCCTCCATTGCCCCTGTTAATCTCCCACCACTAGACCTCTCAGTAGGAAATCGAACCACATTAAAATCTCTTGGAAGGTCCTACCAAGTCATTATACCAGCCAACTCATCCCACAATCCACTTCTGCTCTCATAGCATTAGGCTCATAAACTCCTATAGACATCCAACGGAAGCTGTCCCCAATATTTCTAAACAAAAGCGATAGAGAAAATAGCCTTTTTCTCACCTCTTCCATGTTAAAAACCCTAGTATCCCACATGATTAACAAACCTCCTGAAGCCCTCGATGACCCCACATATTGATACCCAACATGCTGCCCCCCCCCCCCCCCCCCCCCCCCCCCCCCCCCGCGACGGGGCGCATAACATTGACCGCTCACAGTAGCGCTTGAAACGACCTCCAACTTTGTTTTTTGTAAGCATAAAAGGTTGGCCCTCCATCCTCTTAACATATTTCGAATACCTAATATTTTTCCAGCTTCATTATTTTTGGGATCATCTTAACACTTCATCATCCCTCCCCATCAACCCTCTCCTTGAATCACCACCGTTAACGTCGTAATTGATCGAACATTCGAGCCGCTTGAGTTTACAGTCACCTTTTCTTCGTCTTCCCACCTAGTGTACCCATCCCCTATCCTCTATTAACCTCCAATTCCTCAAATAATTGCATTAGCCTAGTTTCATATCCATTACAAGACACACCCACCATTTTACTGAAATCCAGAATTTTTTGAAGGACCCAGCTAGACGGTGGAGGTCTAATGTCAAGCGTAACTTCCACTGTCCCCGGCGAATAGAGGGTCATAATGTTGTCCCTCCTATTCGTCCACTTGTACTACATTGCTATCCATATCTTCCTTGTCACCACCAACAACCCATACTACTAAAGCTTTATCAGTCCTCAAGTTCCTCTCTTTCGCAGACTTAGAATATTTCCTACAGTAAGTGTTCACAACCATAGTTGCTGACCTTGTCGCTCCTTGCTGTTCCTCAACTCTCGTAGCTAGACTTTCTGCCAATACAACTCCCGTCTCTTGCTCCTTCACTGACCTTATTCCCTCTATTGGCCTCGTGTTCAATGCATCCATGGTTGTGGAACCCTTATCTTTTGTTGCATCCAGTACTGCTGACTCAAAATGGGTTCAAAAGGAACTTTTTTTGTTATTCCAAGCCCTCGGATGAAGTTAAAAATAATTGCCTCCTAGATGGGTCATTATATCGTTTGATATAAAATTAGAAGTTTCCATTTTGGGAAATGTTTTCTTTGTAGATAATATGAAGTATAAAGGAAGATATTTATTTTATAATATAGCGAGTACTAGTAAGCCGTCCTGTTAGCGTTATTACTTTTAGCATGCTGGTGGCAGTGGAGCTGCACTTCAGTTGCGTTGGTGAGTGGCTTTCAGGGATCTGTACAATATATATAATTACCCATTTATGCACTGTTGGCTACAAAAATGCGTCTGAGATGTTACTTTTTTTTTTTTTGAATGGTAATCAAGTATTTTATTAATCAATCCATAATACACAGGAAGTGTATTATCAGTACAAATTCGTAAGAAACGACATAAAATTGGGCAACGCCCATCTATATGACTAGTAGCCACCGCATTAAACCAAGTGTACAATGTATAATAAAACAATTCTCTAAATTGCTCTGTTGTTCTTGTTTGATCGTCAAAGCATCGATAGTTCATTTTTCTCCACACACACCAAACTATGCAGCCCAGAATAAGCTCCCATGCAAGTCTGCTATCCTTGTCGCGAAATTTTCTCCTCCATGCCTTTAACACGCCTTCCATACACCTTGGCATCGCCCAATCTATGTGTTGCGATGCGAAAATTTCATTCCACAATAAACTAGCAACATCACAATGGAGGAACAAGTGATCGATCGTCTCCCCATCCCTCTGACACATAAAGCACCACTCTGTAATACAAAAATCCCTAGTCCGTAGGTTATCCACCATTAGCACCTGTCCTCTGACCACTGTCCATAGTAAAAATGCTACTCGTTGTGGCAATTTACTCTTCCACGCCGCTTTCCAAGGGAAAGAGTTGTTCTCAGGTCCTAATAAAGATTTAAAGAAAGTGCTGACTGAAAATATGCCATCTCGTGCCAACCTCCATCTGCTGCAATCACCATCTCCTACCCTGATTTGTACCTCATATAAAGATGTCAAAAACAGGTGTATGAGATGTTACTTTATAAATGAATGCTTCCTTTCTTTCTCTTGCGCAAATTTATCTGCAATTTTACCATATTTTTGTATTGTATTGTCTTGACCAAAATCCTGAATAGTGAAGAAAAATAATTCTAGAATATTTTTTATATAAATTAAAGACTTGAATGAACTCAAAATAATTTATAAAATTTAAGCAGAATCTCTAGTGTTAACGTTGTGGTGATTCCATGACTTTTTATTTTCCTTTTTTTGAATTAACTTGGTCAGTAGCTGTTGCCATCTAGTAGATGTGGTGCTTTACTGTTAGTGGATTGACCTTTTAATATAGTTTCTTCTTTGCTGAATACGATTGACCATGATGCTTAATTTGCAGTTACTTCGACTTCGTCGTCCTTTTGTGGCCTACATAACAGATGGTTTGGGTAAAGAGCTATTTAGGGTGAGTACCTCAAAGGTTTTACGTACTTTTCTTTCAACGATCTACTTTTTTGTTGCTGCCGCAGCTTGTTTACTTGTGTGCACTACTTACATTAGGTTCGGAGGCCCTTTTGGTGGATCACTAGCTCAATTTATGCAGAGATAGACGGAAAAGTATGATGTTCTAGATATTTTTAGTAGTGAGCAACATATACTGTAATGCTTTTCTCAACTTTTGGAAAGGTACCACAAAGCTTGTCTCATAGTTCTAAATGTTTTCTGTTAGGATATTGGTGTCGTTCATCGAAGATGGCATCTCTGGAGGAGAAATTATGATTTGTACTTGGGGTAATATATTCAAGGAAGCATTTCTGCTGTGTCTTTAAGATTTATATTTTGATTTTTAATGTCAGTGCATTCTATGCTAATAAATCATTCTTGTAGCTAAAACTGCTTGAGTCACAGAATTTTGGTAAGGAAAAAACAACTTGATTGTCCGTGGATGCTCTAATTCAACCAAGGCTTTTATCAAGGAAGGGAAAATACTACCTTGTGTACCCTGACTGAAAAGAATAATTCTTGGATTCAATGAGATATGCAGCTATAATGTTTTTCATTACTATCATATTTTCGATTTTTTGTTTCAAAAATGCTCGGTAATGTAGAGAAATTATCCCGAGAATTTCACATGACACCAAAAATGGCCTTAGAATGCATGACAATCTGGCCTTTTCCCCATAAATTGATGTTGGCTATATGAATTACATTGTTTCCTTTCCGATTCTATCTATACCTTCCCATTCTACAGAGAGCTATCTCCACTGAGGGATCCTCGTGCTTTTAAATTGTCGATCTACCTTTCTTCTGACATGTCTTATGAGGACTGCTCGCTCTTGTCAACAAGAGTTTCATTAGATCTATGCAAAACATGTCTCATTCATCTAAATTGTTATTTCTTTTATTAATCTTCTAGTGGTTTTATCTCTACTTGTCAGTGTACATCTTTATTTCTTTATTTGTCGATCAAAACATAGCTATTCTAGTTACTGATCTAAATTTAAATTAGGATGAAGGAATTGATTATTAGCACAAGTAATTTCCTTTTGGCAAAGTAGATGAAGATTGAGTAATTGAAATCTGAAAGTAGGAAGAAAACTTTTGTGCGACTTACGCTGCTTGCTTTTCCTTCCGGCATAGACTTATGAAACTAATGTTTGGTGCAATTTCAACCATTTTACCCATTTCCTTCAGCAAGCAAGCTTAGTGTCTCTTTCTGGTGGTATTAGAGGTGGGTGCGGGTCAAGAATTTAACCGAATCAAAATTTTTGAGTATCTAATAAATGGAACCGTTCGGGTTCGATTCGGTTCGATTCGGTTCCGTACTATAATTAATTTTTTTAACATTTATAACAACATTATATAAATACAACTAATAACACATTCAATGGTTTTGGAATGTCAGAGACTAGTAGATTACTTTGTTCGAATGATCGCTACGGTCAAAGTTTCGATCGGCGGAAGTCACTGCGTCGGCCAGTGATTGTATAGGTTTTGGAATGTCAGCGAGGTTGCGAGAGTCAAGATAGCGTTATGCACTTTAGTGTAGGTGTTTAGGGTTATTTAGTGGGTTAGATCTTGTTGGGCTAAGAAATAAAACAATAAAATTGGGTAATTGGGCAAAAAATTAAAATATTAGAAATGAAACAAATTATTGGACCAACAATTTGGATTTAGAAATTGTTAATTTGTTATTTGTTTAGAAAAAAATTAAAATTAAAATAATTTAATTTATTCAATATAAAAAAAATTAGAAAGATTCGGTTCTTGGTCTAGAACCGAAAATCGAACTGTACTCGTTGGTTCTTAATTCAGATACCCGTTCGGGTATTTAGTTTGACAAGAACCGTCGGATTTGATTCGATCGGTTCGGTTCGAGAGATATGCCCAGCCCTAGGTGGTATTCTGAAAGATGAAGGAATAGGAGAGGGAAAATTTCCCAGGCAAACCTGGAGTTGCTTTCGGGATCTCACATTGAAGCTATCCAATGTGTTCAGATTTCCAGGCTTTACTTATGTTGTTTCGATTTCACTTTGACTCAACCAATGTCATTAACGTGTTTGCCAGAACAACTTAATTTTATGCTTCTCATGCATGCAAGTAGCTGATATGTTCCTTTCTTTTTGTTTAGGAATAAGCAATTTGCAGTGGTAGAGAATCCTGGCTTCTGGAATTGGACATTTACTTTGAAGGACATTGAAGGGAACGTGTTGGCTGAAATAGATCGTGATTGGAGGGGTTTCGGATTTGAGGTTGGTTCTTCTATTTGTAGTTTGTTAAGTGATATTGAGGCTCAAATTGGTGTTTTGAGATAATATACGAGCTCCATTTTCTCTTCTTGAAAGCAAAAATAAAATTGATTTTAGTTCTTGTGTTGAATTAATAGAAATAATTTATTATTGATTATAAAATGACAAAAAATTGCAATTTCTAGATACTTTATTATTCTTCTTTATTGACCGATGTTGCTTGAGAAGTGATTAGGATCTGCATTAGTAATATGCATATATAGTGTTGACAACAAATGATATTTGCTCAAGATGATATCTAAATATGTGATGTAGCCACAAGTTAAGAGATCTCGATACAATTGTTGATGGCTCACCAATTCCAACATTATGTCTCTTTAATTTTAGTAGTTTAGAAAGTCTGTTGTATATAATTTGTTGGCCTTGTCCTCTGAACTTCTTGAAAGTATGTTTAAATATTGAAGTCCGTCATTTTAATCCGTAGTGGTTTATTTTATAAAATTATAGAAGTTGGATATTTTCATTTCTTTTCAATCCAAAATATCGGCATTTTTCAGCATCAACGATTTTGTTTATCAAGAATCATTTTCCGACATTGCGAGCCTTGACTTGTCAGTTCCTTAATAATCGATGTGAATCAACCGGTTTTGATCGTGTTCTTCGCTTGGCACACGCTTTCACCTATGTCGGTATTAATGATCTTCTAAATCCTACAATTCGTAAAGCTCGATGGAAGAAATTGTAACGTGACTATAATGTTTTTGCATGTTTCAATCCAATGAAGTAGACGGGCTTTGATTCGGAAGAGGATTTCAGTGGTCGTTTGATTTTCAATGAAGAGATTAAATATTTGGATTTGGGTGTTAGTTTTGACTGTCCTCCAATCTTTGATGAAGAGGTTGAAAATTTTTCCGATCTGGAGAGATTGTTAATGCGCAAATTTTCCATATTGATACAAATTGTAACTCCCATGTAAACATTAAATCCATTGTTGATGATTTAAATAATATTTGATGGTGGACAATGTGAGGAACACAAGGCAACTGAAATTTCTATGAAGGGACAATCAGCAAAGGTTAATAGTAGACGTCTTTTATGGTGAGTAAATCAGTGGTACTAAGGATGATTCTATCTCGGAAGTAGAGTCATAAGATTAATTCTGGTGAAACTCTGGGCAAAATCCTGTAGGTATGATTATAGGTCAAAAGGTTTCCAACGATATTAATGGTCATCTATCGTGCGTCATCAGCCTTAATATATATACAGCCGATTGCATCTTTTTTTGTATGTATGAGCATCAATATGAACGTGACTAGACATAGATTGTATCCCTATGCCAATGGCAATTATCTTTGTTCTCAGTTAGCATCATATGGAGTCTTCAATTATGTACTTGAGAATCTGCTTGGACCATTTGACTATTGGTAGGGAAGGAGATTAGAGTACCATAAATGACGTGCAATTGCACTACTGGTCTAACAAGTTTGGATTGCATGGCTTGGCAAGCAAATACTGCATTTTAGATTCAAGGTTTGCTATCAGATGGAATTCTCAATTTACTGACAATAGTATGAATTGTTACATGCCAAGTGATGTTGCAGAATTATGATGGTAATGAATTGGTGCTATTAAGGAAATTGGAGGAAATCGTATTGATGGAAAATGAAATAAAAATATTTTGATAAGTTTAGATAGGTTTTTAGAGTAGAGCTTGATATGAATTATGTTTATGTAGATTAAATTAGGATTAATTTTAATATTTTGATAATGTTCTAGTTTATTAGAGGTTCTTTTGATTTTAACTGCTTTGCTTATAAAGGGTTTATACAATGAAATAGTTAGACCCTTTAATATTGTATGTAGGGATGGAAAATGAGCTTATTGGTTCAACTTGAAAAAAGCCCTATCTAGCTTGACTCGGGCTCGGGCCAAGCCCAAATTTTGGCTCGAGCCTGGGCGCCGCATGGTCCAGCTCGTGAAATGGCTTGTTTCACAGGCTTGGCCCAACTCCTCGTCAATCTTCGATTTTTCTGTTTTATTATTATTTATTTAAAAATTGAAATCAATGAAGTATAACTTATATATAAATATTCTTACATAATTAATAGTCATAATTATGCTACAACTATCTATATTTATAATTTATTATCATATTCATTAGTATTCCCGTTATATTTTATTGATATAAACTTTATTAATATAGGAGTTAATATAAGCTGCACAGTCCGGCTCGTGAAAATGGCCTGTGTTACAGGCTTGGCTCGACTTGTTGCCAATCTTCAATTTTTTGTTTTATTAATACTTAATTTAAGATTTAAATCAATAAAATATGAAATATATAAATATTCTTACATAATTAATATTCATAATTATGCTACAACTTTTTATATTTATAATTTATTATCATATTCATTACTATTCCGTTATATTTTATTGATATAAATTTTAAATTTTATTATATAGGAGTTAATATAATATTATTTGTTATCATGTGGTGTTGAAATTTAAAAGACATTTTCTATTCCAGTATTTTTAATTCTACAAATGAATATCAGGATATTTACACTCTTGTAAATTGTACTCTAATTTACATATTCTTGTATGTATATGAATAATTTTTATTGTATTTTAGTCGAGAAGAACTTATTTGACTTATTTATATGAATATTACATGAAATTAAAAAAAAAAAAAAGAACAAAAAATTCGTAGCCAGCTCGGCTAGGTGAAGCTCGAGCTAAAAGCCTGAGTCAAGCCTCCAAATTTTGGCCGGGCTTTGGCTGGACTCGAGTTAAAAAAGTGCGAGCTTTTTTATTAATCGGGCTGAGCACGAGCCGGCTCTACCGGGCTCGTTGCACCCGTAGTTGTACGAATTGATATTTTTTCCTTCTAAATTTTCATTATTCTTTTCTTGTTCTTCTTTCTATTCCTATTTCTTTCTCAGTTTTATTCTTTGTTAGATAGTGTTCTATATCACATATACTCGTGAATGCGAAGTTTTTGAATTTCAGAGCAAGCATTGAATTAGCCTTGGCATTTTTAGCTGCCAACTTGCTCAAACTGTCTAACCTGAACTAATTGGGTTGGTTTGGTTTGGTTTGGTTTGGGTTGGGTAGTTTAAGGGGTAAAGTAGGTGGACAAATTTAGGTTTCAGGTTCACCATCAACTTGATGTTACTCGAATTGATCTGCCAGCAATGAGCAAACTCAATATTTGCTAAGCATACTCATCTTTTGCATAGGAAACTTGAGATTTTCCCAACAAATATGAGGTTGGCCAACAATCTTGAGTTAGCTTTGACAATTTTGAATTTGTTGGGAAAATTTTGAGTTTGCTATGGAAATCTCGAGTTTTATGGCAAACCTCGAATTTGTTGGGCAAATCTCGAGTTTATTTTTTCCAACTTTGAATTTTTTTGTCAAATTTCGAGTTTTTTTGGGCAAACTTTGAATTTGTTTGTCAAATCTCGAGTTTTCTAAGCAAAAGTTGAGTATGCTGGACAAATATAGAGATTGCTCAACAACCTAACTTCAAACACGAATAATTTTGGATCTACAATTTTGAATTGTACCTTGCTTTTGTGTTGAACTCTAAATTTAATTATCTTTCCAATGGTTATTTTTTGAAACCTACTGGTCGATTCAGTTCCGATAGAAGGATTAGATCGTTTTAGTTTAAAATTTAACCAAACACACCTGGTCGATTTTGGGCCCAAAACTGACCTAAATGGAGCCATGCTTACCCTAGCTTTGAAGTTGACAACGAGAGTCTTGTGGCTTGAAAACGATAGTCGATATACAAGATTTGAGGACGAATCTCCTCTTGCCCGGGGAGGATGATGTAGCCACAATATGAGATCTCGGTACAAAAACCAATGACTCACAAGTTCCAACATTATTTATCTCTTTAATTTTAATATTTTAGAAAGTTGTGTTGTATTTAATTTAGTTGACATTGCCCTTTAAGCTTCTTGAAAATATTTTTAAATATTAAGTCTGTAATTGTAATCGGTAGTGATTTATTGAATAAAACTTATGGAAGATGGATATTTTCAATTCTTCTCTATCCACGATATTCTTCAGAATCAACGAATTTATTTATCAACTCGGCAATCATGCGTGAATCAGCGAGTCTTATTGTCAATCTTGGTATTCTACGTGAATCAACAAGTTTGATCATATTCTTCGTTTGACTCACGCTTCCGCTTACATCATTATGTCTTCAGTTTCTCAAAAAGGAAAATTACGGTGAAGACCTGAATTTATTATCATATGATGCAGATTTTCACTGATGCTGGACAATATGTGATTCGATTTGGGAGTGCCAATTCTGGCCTTGATCCTGTTAGGGGGGTATGATTACATAAATGACACTGATTCTTTCCATGTACTATGTTGGTGGATATTTCTGAACTATGGCTTCCTAATTTTGTAGATTGAAGAATTGAATGTTTCTCGTCCATTGACACTGTCAGAGAGAGCAGTTGCTGTTGCACTTGCTGTTTCACTGGATAACGACTATTTCTCCAGACATGGAGGCTGGTAAGCTAATTAAAATGTTGTTTTATTTCACACTAAGTTTACTAATGATAAATGAAAATCTTAGGACATGTTTAGGATGCATGCAGGACTGCATGGGACAATGAACAAGATTTTGACTTTTTTCTTCTTTGATCCTATTTAGTTCCTTCCGATCCTACATACCAAACATGCCATTACTGTTTAACTCTAGACCTGGAAAGTACTTGGTTCGTTTAAATAAAATGAAACACTGCAATTCATGATTAGATTATTCACGCCTGGAACTTTGTCCTGATTTGAGATACTCTCAGGCTTGGACCAATGTACCTGGGGTTACATTTCGTTCACATCCCTTTATATCTTACTACTTTACATTCTATTAAATGGGGAACTTAAGTCTGGGTGTTTCCTTTTTGATAATTTCCCCTTATATTAATGAAAAACAAAATCAAGACGCCAAAGGTCTTTGGTAAAACTATTTTTCTTTTTATTTTCAGAAAATAATATAAAAAATTTTGAAAGTAGAAATATTCTTTTTACAAGTGCGAAATTGTTGATTGGCACTAGACTTGTGAAAACTTTTCTTCTCACATTTGTTAGAAAAGGAATCATCTACTGAAAACTTTTATAACCACGTTTTTGCATTTAAAGCTCATCCTACATTCGGATTAGGCTTCTAATTTCTATGCAGCTTTACATATTTTTAATCCTTGAATAGCTCTTAGTCATCCATTCGTATTTTAAGTCATATTTGCTGCCCTTCTTGCCTGGGATGGTAGTTTGTGCTGGGCAGCGGGGAGGGGAACAAGTTTTTAATTTTTTAGAAAAACTTGGCCATTCTAACTGCAACTTTAACAAACTGTTCACTGGGGACCAATGTGCTGCAAAAGTAAATGGTTTAGGACATCAATTCCAAAAAGGATTAGACTATATGTATATTCTTGGTGTACATAATCTTTTACGCCCCCCTCACACGAAGCAGGCCCCACGCATAATAAATTATATGCGGGCCCCCCTCCATGTGTGGGGGTGTAAAGGATTATGTAAACCAAGTGTGTACAAGTAGCATAACCCTTCCAAAAAAGGCCAGGACCTGTTTGAACAAATTTAATAAGTTGTGGACCCTGCTGCAGTTCTTCCCAATTTTTTTATTTAGGATTTAAGGATAATGAATATGTTAGTCATCAGATATTAATTTTGTTTCTCAAATGTGCTGCTTTTTTTTTCTTTTTATTTTATTTTATTTTTTTCCTGTAAATTTCAAACTAGAATTCTGTTGGAAGTGTCGTGGACTCTCAAACTTGACTGTTGACTTGGTTGCATTTATTGAGATATTTCTTTGTGATCTTTGAGTTTGGACTACTAACAGAATGTTTGGCTGTGCTTAAGTTATTTCTAGGTAAGTTTTGTTAAAGAAAAGAACTTTGAAAATCATGTGTAACAAAATAAATAACTTAAAAAGTTTGATGTACTTTCAAGCACAATCTAACATCATTTTAGTATTGACTGTTTGACTTCTTGCTATACATATATTGATTAATAAAGTTCTTGGTTGATCCGCATTTTTTCATTTGACGGCGTGTACGTGTATTTGATATTAATTCAGTTGATGCATGTTAGTTGCTGGTGTAATATAAGCTGCTTGCTAAATTTTGTCTCAATTCTGTTGCTAGGGGATTTCCTTTTATGGTTGTTGACGATTAAGATTACAGTTAACAGGCAAAGTGTACCGTCCACTGAATATACAAAGGAGAAGACAATCATTTCTCTTTTCTTATTTATTTATTAATATTATCTTTCGGCATTGTACATCAAGAAAGTAAAAAACAATAAAGTCTGGTGTCGACCGGCTACTGTAATTGAACCTGTATTTTGTAACTCGTTTTTTCCTCACCAATAATCATTGATGATGAGAATTCTGGCAAGATTTTGGAAGAAGAGTTTGCATCAGCTATATCTATACTTATGCAGTTTTGTGTTGGGTTTTCTCTTTACAGTTGAGATGATATGTGCAGAAAAAATGTTTCATCTATCCCTTTGAGTTATATTTTTGATATGCTAATGTCCTCTAAAAGTTTAAGTTATTAGAGATAAGATCAACATTGTTATTTATGTCTTCAATGTGCTCCATAACGTGCAGATTGTAGTTTTGAATCCATATCGACCATTCATTCAGCTCCTTATTCGACCTTCATCCATTGACACCATTTACTGCTAACTAGAATAATTATAAGATATTTGTAAGCCCATGAAATGAAGCGAAATTATCCTTAAATCAGAACCATTTCTGCAATTTGACTACAAAAATATTAAAGGGTGTTCAATGGGAGAATTGGATAGTTTTAAACATAAAGGGGAAAAGGTTATACTCTTATTATAATGCAATGGGTTGACCGTTGCACGTAGCGACGATGGTATTACATCAGTGTAGCTCTTTGGCGATGATATCTACACATGGGCGATGCATTGTCACTATGTACAATACAGCGACGAGTCGATGTGCCAATCATGCAACGTTGATGATATCAACAACGATCAACCCTTCAAGTCATTTGGTTGATCGTTGCGATTATTTCAAAAATTTCATCTCTCTTTGTTTTCCTTATTTTGCGATGGCCAGAGTTGGATGTTAATTTGTAGGGTATTGAAAGTGTAGATGGCGGTGGTAGGTTCATGAATTTTGTTGGTGGGGGTGGTGGTTGTGGTATAAGTGGAAGAGATGGTGGATTTTAGTAGGCGGTGGGATGCAGGCGATAGGGTAGTGTTGTGGAGATGGAGATAGATGAGGTGATAGTTGTGATTTTTGATGGGCCATGATGGTGAAAAGGTGGTGGTAATGGCTATGGTTGTGGATTGGCTACAACGGTGATGGTAGGTTTGAGGATTTTTTGGTTGGTGGTGGTGGTGGTGGTGGTGTGGTGGAGATGATGGTTTTGATTCTTAGTACGGGCGATGGAAGTCTAGTGGTGGTTCTGGTGGTGGTGATGGGGCTGTGTTGGATTGGGGATTAGGGTTGTATAAAGGGGGATTGTGACCAATTATTTAATTATTGTGATAAATAAATTGGTTAATTTGTTACCAATAAATAATACGTCACCAATTATTTGAAATTGTAATCAATATATTCGATATTTTATGACAAATAAATAATATGTGACCTAAAAATTTGAATTGTAAATCATCAAATTTATAGTTTGTGATCGATAGACGAACATATAAATTTTTTGGTTTGTGATCGATAAATAAATTATGACTTATAAATTTTTTGATTTGTGACTGACGAATAACTTGTGACCTTTAAATTTTTTAAATTTGTGATCGTAAAATAATTTGATCTCTAAAGTTTTTTCTTCGTGACCGAGAAATAATTTGTCACCAGTTAATTAGATAATTTGTGATCAAATAATATAGAATTGTGTTCTTAATACATTAATTAATAAAATATATTTTTAATTAATTATTTCATAAATAAAAATTAATTAAATTTTGATTTTTAAAATTTAAAACCTTATTTCTTAGTTTTGAATGAACCATACTTAATCTCTTAGAGATGAAATTTTCCTTCGTGATATATACATAGCCCTTGTTTGAGCCCCATTTTTTCGAATGAATGAATTATTGAATAGTGTATTGATGGAAAATGTGTGGTTAGAAAATAAGGAAAAATTTTAAATTTACGTGTAATATTATTTTATTGAAAAATGTGTGGTTGAAATGATATTAAAATACTGTTGAAAAATTCATTTTTTTCAAAGAATGAGGCTCAAACAAGAGCATAAGAACAATAAATTTATTTAAAGTCATTTAGGGCCCATTGAAGATATAAAATAATAGTTGGTTAAATATGTAAATTTTATAGGGTATATAGTAAGTATCGCCTCCAACCTCTTCAAAAGTTACCGTTTCGTCCCCACCTTTTAAGTCGAGGGTAAAATGGGGGAATCCACTTTGGAAACCTCTGCATAAAATGAAAAGAAATAAATACAATTATTGAATTCTAAATAAGAAATAAACTAAAAGAAACTAAAATAAACTTCATCTTCTACAACCATCTTCTTCCACCCACAATTTTTTTGGTAGGGGTTTTTAGTAGATTTCCTGTTTTGCCCTTGACTTAAAATCCTTGTGCAGTTCACATGAGCAAGTTAATGGCCAATTTCTGCTAGTTTCTGAAAGGTTGGAAATGTTTGAGGCCAAAAATCAAAGATACGCATGATATTTGCAACTTTTTAGAAAGGTTGAAGACCAATGGTGCCATTTATTCAATTTTATAATGTATTAAGGCTCGGGTTAATTACATGAATGGTTACTGAATTTTGTCGTATGTTACTATTTAATAACTGAACTTAAAAATGTATATCAATATTCACTAAACTTCACCAAGTGTTATTATTTCATAAATGAAGTTAAAAATGTATCTCAATGGTCACTGAACTATACACCGAATTACCCATCAATTATTTAAATGGAAACATCCATTAAGTTCAACGAACGGCGTTGACTTGAATAATTAATGGGTAACACTATGCATAGTTCAATAACTATTGAGATACATTTTTTATTTCAATTATGTAGTAGTATCCCTTAACAAAGTTTAGTGACCCTTGAGATACGTTTTAAGTTTGGTTGTTAAATAGTAACGATTTGTTTTATTCTCAAATCGATCTCTGTGAAAGAAGAAACTAAAGGAAATGAAGGAAAAAAATTATATTTTTACTCGATATATAGTCTCCATCACAATGAAAAGTACGTTTGATTTTTAGATCAACTGGTATCAGTTCAATATATCTCAAACTTTGTATAAAAAAATTGAAAGAGAAATAGTAGGAATACTAAAAGAGAATGATAGAGAGAGAAAAAAAAATTGTTCGAATAAGTGCTAATGGAACTGAGTTTGATTTGATTTTTCAGCTTTTTTCCATTCATTTTCTTTAGTTTCTTCTTTCACAGAGAACGATTTGAGGAAAAACAAAATTGTTATTACTTAATAATCAAACTTAAAAAAATATATCTTAACGGCCATTGAACTTTGCTATGTTATCACTTTATAATTGAAGTTAAAAATGTATCTTAATGGTCATTGAACCATCCATTACTCAAGTTGATGCCTTTTATTGAACTTTACGAATTTTTCCATTAGAGTGATGGATGGTTAACACGATGTATAGTTCAATGACGATTGAGATACATTTTTTAGTTCAATTATAAATAATAACACTTAACAAAGTTTTTTGACCATTAAGATACATTTTTAAGTTCAATTATTAAGTAGTAACATCCATTTATGTAATTAACTAGGCCTTGTTCGAAGTTTGAACCCTTATGGTAAAATAGATGTTATAATAGTGATTGTTTTGAAAAAATGTGTAAGATTTACATTAAAATTTATTTTGTTGAGATAATGTGTTACTCCTTTGTCTCATTTTTATATATATGTTTATTTTGTTTTTCACACTAATTAAGAAATTTTATTTAATATTATTGAAAAAGCAATTTTTGTTAATAGTTATTCTAGTTTACCCTTTTTTATATTTGTACAATTTCAAGATCAAGTGAAAAGTTTAATTATAACTAAACAAATTAAATAAAGGGTATATCAGTAAACAAACAAAAGAAAACACACTAAATAAAAAATGGGACTATATATTTGGGATAATAAAATAAAAAAGTCTATATAAATGAAATGAAAAGAGTATTAAAAATGAATTTGGGGAGAAATGATGGTCAATTTCGATAACTTCTTGATCCCACTTACTGAATTTATTGATTGTTAATTTTTCATCTTAGTGTGAGATAGAGATAAGGATTAACAAATAAAATGGTAAGCTCTTGCTCACGCATTTGGGCTCTTCCCATGATAGAGCCTCTCGACTGGTAAACAGTCATCCCGACTTGGTCACTACGACCCCCTTTGTGAAGAGGCTCCCCTTCTTCCGAATGATTTGATCAATGAATACTCCATTCTTTCTTCAATGTGGAATCAATATTTCTATTTTTCATATAAAAATACAGATAGAGAGAGGTTTGGTGAAATAGACATGTCTGTGAAGATGTGGACTATCTGCACCCGGACAGAAAAACCCTATGAAGCTTTAAAAAATTAGCCAAATTTCCCCGATGTAGAGGCAATCAAAAAAGCCGCACAAGAAGGGGGTCGTAGTGACAAAGCCCAGACGACTGTTTACTGCCCCAAACATCTGACTGCATTTTTCAACTGAAATGGAATTTTACTATCGAAATGGAATTGTAACACGGAATATATTGGTAATAGATCTACATTTTAATGCCAAAAATACTAATTAATTTTGTAATGGCAATTAATTTATTATTGCCTTCGTTGCTGCTCCTCCAGTAGATAATGATGGTAATCGTGAACGCGATTTTGAACCTTTTTTTTCATGCCCCCTCTTAATTGAGATGGTTCAGAGATGCTTTTGTCGGTATTGACCCATCAAGTAGAGTTTGGAGGGCTAATGTACTTTTTATTAGCCTCGGTTTAATTTATATAAAAATTAGATTTTCAATATATTTTGATAAAAATTGATGATATTATAAATTAAACTACCACTATTTTTTTTTAACTCAATAGAAATGCAACTGATGTTCTCACTAGTCCACATTAGCAGACCAATTAAGCATGTCCCGTTGTGTCATCTTGCGGAGCTCAAATGGGTGTTTTCGTTGGAGGAAATGGTGGCAGATAGCCACAAAAAAACATACAATTTTTCAAAATAGCCGTTGACTACTATTTAAAAAAAATCAAAAATTTGTAAAAACCTTAAAAACATTGAAAACCCAAAATTGTTCCTGACATTTCACTCTCAAACCGACGTCTGGAGAAAGAAGGGGAAGAAAAAACAAGGAAACCAACGAGTTTTTCTTGGGAGGAGACCGATCGGCCACCATTAGAAGCGAAAAAAGTTAGTTTTGCATAATTTCCCCCCCATTAATCTATGTTAAAGGTTTATTTTGTTGAAAATAGCGGTAGAA